TGTATTTTGTTTAGGCGGCTCTGATAAGATTGTAACCTCAGAGGAGGGGCCAAGGCGTCGGGATAGAATGTATATAATGTGTGTCTTTGTTGTGACTAGGTGTGGCTCAAATATTTATTTGGAGTCCACCACGCTTTGCAAACCGTTGTATCCAATAAATCTCTGTCTAATTTCAACTTGCTGTTTGGTGTTATTCAGTCGGCTAGAATTTCTACCAACAGGACTAGATCCTAGTTTAACAGAAAGCCTGAGGGAACATTGATAGCAGAAGCCTGTGATGTATCCCTTTTTGGAGGGATTATTCTTACTCTGAGGAACTCCCTGTTGCTTAACACTGATAACCAAGTTTATAATTTTAGAAGCAGAGAAGTTAATTTATGAGGCCTTCAAAACCTGGGACCTAAGCTTGTTCTCTTTGAAATATCCCTCCTTTTGCATCCCTGGGTGGTTTTTAATTCACTTGTTCCTGTCACTCCAAATAGCCCTTTGCCCTCTTCGTGTTGACATCCCTCCAGTTATTTAATGTCTTCCTGTCTTGTCCAAACGAAGCTGGACCCATTTAGATTTTATTACCTGTCATGAACCTCTTGCTCTCAGCTCCCTCCCCAGAATAGTTGAATGGCTCCGATTTCATTTAGTCACTTAATTTCTTTGGGAGCAACAGAACGAACATCGCCTCGGTTTGAAGAACAGGAAGGCCTGAGGTGAGGAGAGCAAAAATAAGTAAATAGGAGATCTAGAATGAGATTAAAGTCAGGAATGTCAGGAAGAAATTGCATTGACTGGGAGGTTCTTGAGAAGTGACTTTTTTATTTTTGTCAAAAATGTATAGTTACAGAAAGGTTTTAGGGGTGATTAGATGGTGCCAAGGCTAAGAATTAAAACAAGAAATCAGAAAGCCCTTGGTGGAAATATCTTCTCTGTCATGAGAAGTTTTAAGTGATCCAACTCTTGTAGATGTATCTGTTTTATAAAAAGGATACAGTCCTGTTGTCTACCAGTTCCATGTTGGAATGATGTTTAAGGATTGCCACAGTAACAGATGCCTGAAAGATTTGGAACATTTGAGATGTCTGTATAAATTTGTAACATTGCAAAAGGGATATTTTGGAATATTGCTACAACAGAAATGGGTGGAGCTAAGAAACATTTTTTTCTTAATTGCATTTGAGTCATTTTTGGGTAGATACATAAAATTTTAGTTCTATAAAATGAGCTATCTGGTTACGTAATATACAATAGATTCCATTAATGAATTGTATAGCCCCAAAGTCATGGTCCTAAATTAAGTTCAGTTTTACAAACACCCATTATTACTTTATTATATAGATGTTGGTTTTCTAACTTGCCTTCATGATATTATTTAATTTTTCTGTTTTAGTGTCTCTGATTCTAATATACAGTAAATTGTACCTGCTTGGCTGTTTTTTACTCTCGTATCTCAGCTGAAGGATGATTTAGGATCCAATGCAATTGTCTTTGGATCCAATTAAGTTCACAGTACTTGAGAGAAGCCAAGAACAGCTACAATTTAGCAGAGGGGATCAAAGAGAGCTCAAAATTAAGCTTTGGTTTGCTTCTTTATCACCTAGGGCAGGGATCTCCAAACTTGGCAACTTGTGGACTTCAACTCCCAGAATTCCCCAGCCAGTCCTACTGGTTTCATGCTGGCTGGGGAATTCTGGGAGTTAAAGTCCACAAGTCTTAAAATTTGGAGACCCCCTGATGTACGGTGTGATAGAAAAAGAGCCATTGTAGTCTATAAACCACGGCTTCAATTAGTATGAATTGATGTTTAACAAATTACAAATTAAATAAATCACGCAATACAATACAGCGCTTGAGAGGAAACAAAAGACTGCCTCATCCGTAACACATTTCTAGTGTTGTTATGACTGAATACAAGGCAACTCAAATTGTAGCAGGGAAATAGCCTGGCAGGAATAGCCAACACTCCA